CTCGTGGGGATCTCACACTACCAGAGCAGGACTTCCATTCCCACGTGGCGATGGTGATCCAGCCCTTCCCAAAGAACTTTTCTTGGGCGGATTCCCTCTGGACTCCCCGCGTTCCTCTTCTCCACCTGTTGAGGAGTAGTGGGACCCATGGATCCATATCTCCTTCGCCCTCCATTGACCCTTACATTCCCTTCCCACCTTTCCTGCCCAAACGGAGAGGGATCTCTAACGCCGCTGCCAAGTTACTTAAAGACTCAAGAGGGAGCGGTAAGGAAAGCCAAGAGCCGAGCAGCAGGCAAGGCTCTTCCCCAAGAGAAATCCCTTACTTTTTCATTCACTTTTTCCAGATCTTCCTTTGAGGAAGTCTTCAAGTTTTGGAGAAGGGTGATGATGATCGCTGCTCAGTCCGGGAATGATCCTTTGGAAAGAGGCTGTACTTTGTTCCTTCTTGCAGAGCCCATGGATGGATGTCATGTCTGGGTTGAGAAAGGGGGAGAAACTCCACCGGCCCTTCCCTTCCCTTCCCTTCTTTACCGTCCACACACACCCAAGATCCCACTTCTGGAGCCTTGCCACTGTTTTCTTGGGACACTCTTGTTTCCAAGAGGTTCTGAAACTTCCTTATGCGTTAACGCACATGGTGTAGTTGTGGATGTGAGGCTTCCTCAGCTTCAGACTGGCAGGCTTCATCCACACTGGAGAAATAATGTGGTTTGACATCACTTTAACTGCCATGGCTCCATGCTATGGAATTCTGGGAGTGGTAGTTTGTTGGGGCACTACAGCCCAGGGCCCTCCAAAGAGGAAAGGGTTGGGGGGAAATGCAGCTACTGAAGAAGGTAGGAGCTCTTGCTTTTTTCAGTCCTGTAGATGTAAATATAAGGAATGACATCCTGCATATGCTGTTGTTTAGGAATCTCAGAGGAGAAGTGTGGCATTCAGGAATCTCATCCTGGAGAAAAATCTGACAGAGATGAAGCCCTGGAATGGGAGCCCGTGCTTTGACTTGACATTCAGAAGGGTTGTGTGTGTGTGTGTGTGTTGTGTGCCTTCAAGTCATTTTCAACTTATGGCGACCCAAAGGTGAACATACCATGGGGTTTTCTTGGCAAGATTTGTTCAGAGGTGGTTTGCCATTGCCTCCCCCTGAGGCTGAGAGCATGTGCCTTGTCCAATATTCACCCAGGGGGTTTCATGGCTGAGCTGGGAATTGAACCCTGGTCCCTAGAGTCATAGTCCAACACTCAAACCACTACGCTACGTACTTGCCTTGTGGCTGTGAGTGTATGTTCTGTGGTGTGTGTGTGTGTGTGTGTGTGTTGGCATGCCTGTGTTTTCATGGATATTGTCCTCTATCAAGATCTGCTGAGCCATCATTCTGAAAGCACTTCCCATATGCTCCTTCCTCTGTATGTCCAACAATCCTTCATGCTAATTAGCCAAGATGAAGCCCTCAGGGCTGGAAGTGGGTCTCTTTTGAGTTTGGGCAGCCCTAATGAATGTTGCTGAACTGTGGTGTTGAAGGAACCACACTGAAACCTTAGAAAATGTCACAGTTGTGCTGGTGTCTCTACCTTGCCTTAAACACACCCATGTTTAGAAAACTGCTGAAAAGCTTGATAAGCAATTAGAGAAAATTCCAATTTGTGCCTTTTTCTGGTGACTTAATCTGATTACAATTAAAGCAGATGCATAATTAAAATATATTAGAGAGAAACACATGCTTGGCTGAGCTTATGAGCCGTCCTGGGGTGTTTGCATGCTTCATTGACATTAAACCATCCAAAAAGTGAGCATAGATTTACTCTGACAGCTTTTCATCAGCCTCCCCTCTCTCTCTGTGTGGAAACTGAATGGGTTAGGGTGAACTGCTTTTCAGCAGAGTGGGTTTGTATTGATGGGACACTCCTTGGATTCTCATATATGAGGGTAATTCGATACTGCAGTGTCTAAAACTAAAAGTGGCTAGGGAATCTTACAAATGATACGTCAGCAGTCCTGCCTTCATATGCCCATTAGTTTACACTGTTTTCAACAGACAGTCTTGGATTGTGGCTCCAAAGATATCATGTCCTTGTGTTTGAGTATTATGAAAAGGATACGCAAGGACAAAAAGTGAGAGAAAAAGCAGCCTATCTTTCAAACTTTCAGAAGCAAGGAAGATGCTGCTTTGTCAAAGATTGCTTTGAGAACCATTTGCCTTCAGACACAATCTGCACTTAAGTCAATTAGTTGCTCAGTCTTGAACTTTGCTATGCTTTGCTTCTCACTGCTACTACTATAGTTAGGTGGTTACTGGTAGGATAACTGTATGATGCAGTCCTTTCATTTTTGCATTAATGGAATGGCAACTCCTCTGCCTCATTTTTTGAAGTGACAGACAAACAGTTCAAACATTTAGGTCTAGAGGATCTCCCAGTTTCCTAAAAGATATTCCCCTCTTCTTCCAGTTATTTGGCAAAATCGTTAAGTACACTGTCATTTTAGTTTTGTTTTAAAGGCTTATAAAGTCATGTTAACTATAACATTGCTTTGCGAATTTTTTCAGATGAGCAATATAAAGGCCATAGAAATAAAATCAAATTTGAAGGGAAATTTTGCTTTGCTAATGCTGGATATGTCTTCTTTGGTACACATGTAAGTACAATAATAGGCTGACATTAACTTGGCTCTTAAGCAACCTGCACTGTCTAGGCTGGACAAATCCTGTGCACCTGGTTGTCATTCCATAACATGGAGCATAAAAAGTGATGGTTGTACTTAAGAATAGGAGTATTTTTGGCATCCTGCCATTTGAACTATCCAGCAAAGACAACTACAGCAGTTTCTGGACCCAGATGGTCAGTTTATGGTCAGTGCTCTTTTCCTGTTTAAATTGGCTAATGTTAGAATATAGTTCAAAATATTATCCACATGATGAATACAGAGATCAAGCACTTTGTTTATCTCAGCCTAATAGTGCCTTAGTGGTATTAGAGAATTCTAGCAGCATTTGCATTGGAGATTATAAAGTCTCCTCCCCCAGTCCTTTTAATCATGAGGCTAATGCTTAGTATTAAGTATTAGAATTTTAACTTAGTATTTTATGGTAAAGCTTGGTTAATTTATCTAAAAGCTAAATACATAAACATTATTTATTTCCAAAATTCAGTGGCATGTGTGAACTGAACTGATTGATTATTGATTGTGCCGTATTGATTAGGTTGCACTTTCATTCACTACAGGAATATGGAAGAGGCGAAAGCTGCAAATAGTGATTGTGTCTCTGCTTCACCACCAGAAACTTCTTTTTAAGGGACAGCCTAAAATATTTTAACTACAAACACAGAATTATGCTGGCCTTCAGAATCCTGGTTAAAACTCTGGGAAATGGAAACAGAGTAGAAAACTGAGTGATATTGTTTTTCAGATTGGAGATGGATCA